TTTCTAACTTCTTTTCTTCTTTTCATATCCTCCTTTTCAATGAATAAAGTAAACACTTAATGAAATATGAAGAGGGTTAAATGTAATGACTGAATGATTGAAGATAGAAAATAAGAGAGAAACAGAACGTTGAGGTTAAGTTCTTAAGAAATTTCACAAAGCTTCTGAAGAATTTTCCTACAACTTTCTGTTTGACTGTCTCTCTTATATCTGTCAAACCAAATATAGCTCAAGTGAAGGTTTAGGCTGTCTTTTGTTCATTTTTACTCATTACAGAAGGCTCGAAGACTGTCTTAGGGAAATCTTATGTCCTTGATGACCTCAAAAAGAACCAGCTTCCAGTCATGGAAACAGGAGACTGTGTTGAGACCCATACTGGAAGTCTGGAAATGGTTTGAATTTGTTTTCTAGATCCCCCGAACTAGAAACCATCCCCAGCCCCTTCTTAAGTAACAACTGTCAGGATTTTCTTTCCCTTTGTATCATAGTTCTCCCTCCTTTTTCAATTAACCAAGTTGCTGCATAATTTTTCTTCTTGTTTTAGAATAGTGAACAAGCTGGATAGCTCTGGCTACAGGTTTCATTGGATGAAATGCAAACATCATGTTTTTCTGACACAACAAGAAGTATTTGGATATATATACATATTTACCATTTCTGTTTTACTCTCAAGTTTGTTTGGGTTATGTGAGGGTTCATCTTGTTTCCTCAATCAATCATTTTGTTTGAGTAGCTGTAGCTCTAAAAATTCAGAACCCCCCCCCCCCCAACATTGATAAAAGGCACAAAAGATGATGCATTGTGAGAACACATTATTTGGGAGACAAAATACTTTTGCATGATTACTGCGTTAAAGTAGTTTTCTTTCTTTTATGATTTTTCTTGTGGTGTCCTAACTGTTGTACATGTTTTGTGGGTAATTCCAGGAGAACTGAAGAACAAAAGCCTAAGGAACAGAAGCCTAAAGCAAGCGAGAATAAGCCTGTGATGACTGAATGACAATTGGCTGAATGCTAGAGTTTAGAATATGTAGCAAGTGAAGGCATTTTTTGTGCCCATTGGGTAGCAGCATGTTTCTATCATGAAACCGTACTTGGGAGTTCGCAACTATGCCTTCCATATACAAATTACCTGGATTTGAGGATTTTGTGAATTTTGTCTTCTCTGCTGCTAGTGTGAATCAGACTGATCTATCAAAAAAAAAAAAATGTGTGATCAGACTCGGACAATATAATTCTCTGTTCCTCTCTTAATTCTCTAGCAATCCAAACATGGAGAATAATGTGTCTAAGTTCCTGGTTGGGCTAAAATGGGATTCATGATTCTTACGGGCTAATGTGATCCTCAGCTTTTGCATTTGTGTTTTTCAGCTGTGAATGTGATTTGCATTGCAGTTTGCGTAAGTCCCGAACATCACGTTCCCTTTGCGATTCGATGGGGTTTATACTAATATGGTTACAGCATTTCAAAGACTACTACAAAGTAGGATCCTCTTCGGTCCTACTCCACTAGGCTTCATGTACTATGGAGTATAGACCATCCGAACTAATTTGAGTTCTAAATTCTAATGTCTCGTTAACCAAAGTCGCCAACTCTTCCCGAACTGTCGATTAATAGTTAATGTTTACGAGTTACAGGTAGCATTTCATTTGGCAAAGACTCTCTTTGCCTCAGCCACAAATTTGTGTTCTGTAGAGCATATTGAATCCAATAGCCAATAGTACTTGCGAAAATGAACTTCAAAATGCAAATATATGTAATGCAGTGTCTGATTTTCATGCTTCTACCAGAGCTTACCTACTAGAACTTATCCATCCATCTGACAAGTGGCATGAATTCAATACTTGTGCAAAGTGGATGTTGGAGGTGTCAGGTGTGCCACCAAGGCCGCTCTTGAAGACCCATGGATCGCAGCCGCTGATGTTGCACCTTGCACGTCAACATCAAATACTCCATGGTGAACTTTGTTTTATTTTGCTAAAAGCAACAAATTACACCTTTCCTCTGATCCCAGGACTTCTTCAATGTATATTCAAACCCAGTCTTATCCTGGAGCTAGAAGATGCACTTAGCTCCCTCCAAAATGGTTTCACTAAACCAAAGAAATGACCAAGAGGAATCAAGTACATATTACATTCATTACGCTTCATTGGAATGAAAAGAGAATATGTGCTTTGCCACTAGTGCAGAAGAACGAGTCTCAGTTGGCTTCTGATAATGGGAATAGCTTCTCAACCATGCCATTAGACAGGATCTTGTTAGGGTCCAATTCCCTTCGCGCTTTGTTGTACTCATCAACTGGAAACCGCTTTCTCAGCCTTGCTTGGAGTGTCGCAAGCTCTTCCTTATCCTTTGGAACCTAGAGAAGTAGAAATTAGCCCATTAGGTTACGCATACATGTATGTAATATTAGATAATCACAAATAAAAGCAAAAAAAATATTACATTAATAGACAAGAACAAGAATATATCAACTCAGCTTGATCCAAATTTTTCCTTCCTTTCTTATACCAATCACGTCAGCAAAAGAATGAACATTGCTAACATCCTAAAGGAGTGTCTTCTTATTAGTAGACAGTCTCTCGGGTCTAGCTAAACCCCCATGGAGTATTGATAACATTATAAGAGAGTGTCTTGTTATTGGTAGGAGGAGAGGGCTTAATGTTATCTATTCTCATGTTTATAGGGAGACAAATGCTGTTGCTGATTGGTAAGCTAATGAGGGTCATGGGTTGATTGGGGGTAAGTGACTCTTCGTCTTTGTTCATTTGTTTTTATGATTCCTGGGGAAGGGCTACCCACCATGTTGTGTAGCCCATCTTTTCAGCTTATAAAAATAAAAGAAAAAGAATAAGAAAAAAGTGAGAGAGAAGCAGAAAAAGATCCTGCCTAGATTTTTGCAGGGATCTCAATGGTAATGTTGGATATTTTTTGTGCCAGAATAGAAAGTGATTCATTTTGATGGTCCTGGACAACTTGCTATCAATACTCAAGACAGAACAGAGACTAAGGGTCCGTTTGGTATGCAGCCGGAATCGGAATCGAAATCCATCGTAATCGGAATTGGAATGGTCTATTCCCATTGTCTGTTTGGTTCAGATAGGAATGGGAATGGAAATCGGAATCAGCTGGAATGAGATTTCATTCCCAAGGGAGGGGCAGGGAATGGCCGTTCCCTCAAATGGGTGAATGCCATTCCAGCAGGAACGGGAATGGGATTCCAATTCCGCTCAACCAAACAGTTGGAATCGGAATAGCCCATTTTGATTCCGATTCCAGATCCCTATTCCCGCGAACCAAATGGGGCCAAAGTTCTCAAAATGAAACATGCACCCTATATACACCAAGAGTTCAAGTAATTTCTAGCAAAATTCTAAAAAGATAATGGAATTACAGGTTTAATAGAATTGATACATCTTTTTATCACTAAAGTACAGATATTTTCATTTTTGTGATCTAAACTTGATTTTGTGAATCCCAAGGAGGAACTAATCCAATATGCAATTCATAGTTCATACCTCAATCTTAGCCCAATGTTCACAAGAAGAGTATTGATCCCACAACTGTTTCTGCGTTAGATGTCTGTAGTTGAAGAATTCCTCCGTGATTTCCTTCCTCTGGCGAGCATCCATTGTAGGAAGATACATTATTATGCCTACCTGAAAGCAGAGACACAAGCAGGTAATGTAGCTATGGATTTTATTATTCAATTCTATCTATTTTCTGAACCTAGTAAAACATATACATAGCATAGAACATATTTCTCTTGCTAGATCACATGGCATCCATAAATACTAAACCCATGATGGTTTGCAATTCCTAAGGTTGTGATATAAATATGGATTTTGGTTTTGGTTTTCAAAAGGTTGCCACCAGATTCTGGGGTGCAAATATAGTTGCATTTCAAAAGCATATTTCTAGGTGCTGAAAAAAGAACATATTAATATATAGACTCAAAAAACAAAGACAAAGGATGAGATTTGTCTAGGCAGTAACACAAAGCAAGACAGATTGTCCAATCATGAGTCATGACAGGAACAAGATTTATGGAAATGGAAATGAAATTACCCATGAAAATATATCATCTTCTGCAGAACTGAAAGCTGGACTCATGGGGCTTCTGCTGCAAACCGTCCATCTCTGCTCTATAGGAGCAGGTGCTGGTATCCCTTCATTCTGTATTAGCTTCTTCAACTCTTCTATGTATTCTATGTCTTTCATGTTTGGTTTTGCTAAGGTTCCTGCAGGGAAACATGTCTCTGAAACCCACTGCTGGCCACCACAATCAAAGCCCAGAATCTCATCACTCCAACCCACTCTGTAACCCTCAGACTTCCTCCAGAATTCAGCCTCTGCTTGATTGACTTTGATTACATGGTCCTTATTGAGAGGATCAAGTGCAAGAAGTTTATCCCTGAGCTCTGTAAATGACATCTCATCAATGTCTGGTTCGTCGTTTTCTGGAGATTTAGCTGTAGTTTCTTCAACTCTGAAAAAAGAAAAAGATCAACTAAAATATTAAGAGCAGATAGAATAAACGAATAAATGAATACATTCATTTAAGTCAGCCACAAATAAACTAGATTTTGGAGACAGATCTTTTAAAAGGCAAATCTAACAACAAAGAAAACAGAAATCAAAAACCACACTAAATGGATATATTGCAGAAAATAGAATCTTGAGCTTAGCACTTAATTAGGAAAATAAGGAAAAGTTCCTAAATATACAATTAGATAGAAAATAAAAGACATTGTTTGGAGGAAACAAACTTGAAATAAACATATAAAGGAAACATAAAGTAATCATTAGTTTTGTTTGTGTAATTTAATTTATTTTAACACTTGAAATTAGAATAATAAAAGATACACTTCTAAAGTTCTACCTATACTTCTTGAGAGACTCCCAGTATAAGTCACGAACATGCTGGATAGCTTCATCTTTCCCATACTTGGGTTTGAACTTAGGTGGGCCTTTCCACTTTGAAATAGGATTGCATCTTACAACCACAACTGTGTCTGTGTATGGAATATACAAGTATTTCACATGCTTATTTTCAGACAACCATTTCCTGCAAAAATGAAGGAAAAAGATGGTGACTCCTGGGAGAATTAATGGTACACTCAATTGTGTAATATCATATGTGAAATGGACAGATATGATTCTTAAAACCACTCCTTGACTTTGTAATAAAGAAAGAAAAACCAAACATTTGATACCAAACAAGGATTAAGAGATTAGTTACTTGTGATTTTTCTTGATCTCATTGATATTTGAAACAAATGTGTGCTCCACAAGCTCATGTCTTTCAACACATTGGAGGGTGACTTCAGCAACCACTCCAAGCCCTCCAAGACCACAGCGAGCTAGATAAAACAGTTCTGGATCTTTCTCTTTTGAAATATCTATTGTTCCCTTGGCAGGCGTAACCAGTTTCATGCTGATGACCTGCTCATCAATGGGAGGCAATCTTGCACCAGTACCATGTGCACCCACCTGATGAACAAATGAATTCAAAGATGTTAGCATAAATTGCAGCTGCATATTTAGGAAGCTTAGCAGCATACTCATGCATGTCATGTTTTGCACCGAAGTACAAATTAATGTATTGAGAAATGAAAAATTAAACAAGTACATAATAACAAATCACTTTCCCATCATGGATACAAATCGAGTAACATTCCCTGATAATTTCTCACATAACAAATTCCTTATCAATGCCGGTCAATCACATTTTCTAAAAGAACCATTGTTTCAATGGACACAATTTCTTAGAAAATGCATTAAAACAGACAAAGCAAATATCCCTTTGCTAAAGAATCTAAACTCAAAAGTATGTTAGCACAGTATCAGCATCTGGTGTACACATACTTTGTAAAACCCAATCCACTAAGCAAATTACAGAATTTAAGCCTTAGCGGTAATTTAGAGTTCCGGTGGGAAGGTAACTAAACCATCTTGGGACCAAATTTCTTTCTACAGGTCAGTGATACCATCAATAATATGGCACGGCAAAACATGAAATCCATGAAAGCATACTTCATAGAGCCGAAATGGTACACAAAATTCTCAGATCACCAAATGAACTTACTTTTAATAAAATTATAATGGAATCAGTTCGTGTGAACAGAATTCTTCACATCAACAAAATTTCGAGAGAGAATTGTACCTGAACAATTCCACCAATCTGTTGTTCCCTGATAGACGCAAAATTTTGCAATGTAAGCCCATACTCCTTGATCCCATCAACAAGCTGTTGCACTCTAACACCCGCCTGAACTCTAACCGTTTTCTTCTCCTTATCCACCTCCAAAACCTTATCCATCAATGCCAAATTCACCATTCCAGCTCTCTGCAACCCAATTCCATTCGGCGACAACCCCGATCCAACAGGCCGAATCTTCTGCCTCTTCTCGTTCGCCTCCTTCACAATCTTCTCCAATTCCTCCAGACTCTCGGGTTGCAGAAAAACCCTTGTCTGGACTTCATGGGTCCCGCTCCAATTCGAAACCGTGTGGAGATCTTCCGGCAGTGGAGCGTATCGGAAGAGGTGAGCTTTCTTGTGCTTAGCATCTTCAGGGAAAGGGAAGGAATAGTAAGTGGCGATGCCACAGCCCAGGAGAAGAGCAAAGTATCCCAAGTACTTGCGAATTTCGGCATCGGAAGAAGAGGAGGATGGGGAAGAAGAGAATGAACGGATGAACCTAGTGTTAGGATTAGGATTAAAAGGGTCTTGAGGGAGTGCAGTTAGGGTTTTCAGAGCTTGGAAATGAGGGATCGAAGAGGGATTGGAGGAGTGTTGTTGTAGTAAGGTTTGTACTGATCGCCGTAAGCCAAGTGCTCTATACATTGTTTCTCGGTGTGAGTTGCTTAGAACGCAGGAGAAATGAGTGGTTTTAGTGCAGCATTTCTCCTTCTAAGAACAGCTTTTGCTCTATTTAAGAGATTGGATGGAGACCGAGAGCGAGAGGGGTCGGTCAGTCAGTGAGCTGCAGTAAACACTCCCCCAAGAGCAGTGGAGGGAACTGGATGGTTGTTCTGTTGGGTTTTTTGTGGCAGTTTGGATGTCATTGGTAAATAGGTCAAAGAACTACACAGTAGGGATAGAAGATTCCAATCAAACGGCTTAGGTATGGAATTCTATCTCATTCTTGGTAACCATTGGATTGGAATTGTCTCTAGGACCCCACGTCTGCTAATAGTGAGGGACGGGGACGTACTTGAAATCACATAATGTTGGATATGTGTGGCGTATATCTATCTGCTTTAGCATCACTCTCTGTGAGCTAATTAAGAGTTGAACATACTTGAAATAACACCCATTTCTTACTTTACAATTACATGCATACCCAAGTTTCTAGTTTCATTTTGCACACTAGTCAGATTTTCCCTAAACGAAACAATGAATTGGGATTTGGGAACATCACTTTTGTATCAATTCAATTCCATGGGTGTCCAATTATGCTACAATAAGAAAACGTGACTCGAGGTCGAGGCTTTGTAGGTTGTAGTGTAGTTGCCTAGTTGGGTGTAACGATCCAAAATAAATCCACCAACTACCTCCTTTCTACGAAATTTCTCCTAATAATTCTATAATTCTGCCCATCAAGCAAACCCTTTCTTTTTATATTGACGACACACTCAAACCAAACTTCATCGTATCTTCTTTCTTAATTAAAGCTTTTAGAAAATTAAGTCATGGTCATGGAGATGCATATGGAGCTTATGTGGTCAAGAATTCTAGTGTGGTACAGTTAGCCCGGTGAAGGGTCCACTGTCAGCTATACACCATTGTTTGGATGCAGCCGTGCAAGTTGGATATCAGTTATCATTTTCATAGGATAAATAAAAGGAGAGAGAGAGAGAGAGGACTGTCAATGGATGGGTTCTGTTGGACTGCTCCAAACCAAATCAAACCAATTATGTTAGTTCCGGTTCCATGATTGATTCTGTCCCAAGTAATAATAGGGTTAGTTCTATTTTTTGCCTATCTTGAACCGGTTATTTTATTAAGTATACATAAAGTTTCCTTAATTTTCTTATTATTTTTACATGTTTTATGTTTAAAATGATAAATTTGATAGATAATATTAGTTAAAATGTTTAATTTATTAATATATAAACAATTTAATATCTTACTATCATTTTTATTAAAGTTTGTTTGTATTTATTTTTTTTATTACGGTTATGTTATCAAAATTCAAGTTTCCTAGCCTCTTGGTCTATGATTTTATCCCAATTAATAATTGGTTTGGGACTATGACAACCTTGTCTTGACCTAAACCCGACCCACTACTTCACAGTGCAGTTTTTGCATCATAGATTTTGCCTACTAAATATATAATATGGGAAAATCTATGATACGGAAAAAGTATCTTTTTCATACCATATCGGATGAGATGACCAATCAACTTCGACTTTCTGTTTCGATGATACAGGGTATTGCAGGTAATCGGTTTTAACAACAATTAAAATCACATTTCAAAAAAAGAAATTCATTTCAAATAATAAAGACGTTAACGTCTTTCCGTTCGTTCTTCCTCCTCAGATGAATCTCTCCCACAGTCGTCTCTTTCTCTCTCTTACTCAAACTTCACATCACCGGTAAGGACGGAACCAGCGGCGGCATCTAACCACTGGTAAATCTCTATCTCCTCTTTCTCTGTCTTTTCTCTCCTCTCTCTGTATTCGATATCATATTTGATTTTCTTTATGTTCTCCATGGACGACACCAACCGGCAACGGCAAACACATTTCTAGGTTTGTTATCTCATTCTCTAGGCATTGTTATTAGATCCCTCTTTTCTACATTTGTGTATATGTTGGAGTGGGAATGACAAGTCTTGTTCTCTTGTAGGTGGCTTGCAGGCCATTTTGACAAATAAGAATAAGTGCTGAAGTGACAGAACTTGCAGCAGGGATCTACACAATGAGGTATTGATGGAATTAACGAAAAAGAAACTTGGAATATATGTATATTTGTAGGTTGATTCTTGATTCTTAGGGTTGCTTTTTGGCAGCTTGGAAATGAATTCCATTGCTCGTTTAATGTCAATTTCATGCAGTTGTCAAACTTCAATTCATACTTTGTTAATGTGCAGTAAGTTTATAGAATAGAAATTCATTAGTACCTATACCCTTCAAGATGAAACTTGTCATGATCAAATACTGAATAATTTAAGTGCCCATTTATTCAGCTAAAAATGTTTGAACCTGATATCAAAGGGCAAAACTTCTTAAGAATGAATTAGCCACTGATCTTTAGGCCAAAAAACGTATTGTAAATTTTTTTTCAGAGCAAATTTGTTCCCTTGAAGTTCGACCAGAAGAGGGAACTCGAAGAAGTTGACCAGAAGAGGGAACTTGAAGGAGAAGTTCGACCAAAAGAGGGAGCTCGAAGAAGTTGACCAGAAGAGGGAACACGAAGGATATAAGAATGGATAACGGAAGATTAGAGATTAACGGATAGGTTAAAGTATTAAACTTTAATTAACATATAAAAAAATATAATTACCAGTTACTTAAATAATTCAAGTAACTGCTGTATACGTGGCAGTAGCATAGGTTTTAGATATGATATGGTTTTCCATATCATAGTCGGACCTATACATTCTCTTAATGAAAATTGAGTTGCAGTTCACTTCACCATAAGCTTCTCGTATGAATTTTGTTTTTTTCGTAGGACAGAAATTGAGGGTGGGGTGGCGCAGAGCAGAATGCACAAGGCCCACTGGCCATACCACATAGAACCTGCAGTTATGCAAGTTTGATCCCACACCTATTTGGAGGGGTGTCAAGTGACCATCTTGACAATTATGTCACTCACCTTGTATGAAGAAAATATATCATCAAAGACAACATAGGGTAGCTGCAGAATCATGGTCAATTGAAGGATCCTTAAATCCTTAATTTCCCAAGAAAAACTAAGGCGTGAACCTTAACATTGACATGGTGATAGTGTTGGGTTTCTGCCCAACACAGACACTGATTTGAGATAGCGTAGTCTCCTAGAGAAGAAATAAGAGAGAGAAAAGAGAAAAGAGAAAAGAGAAAAGAGAAATTTCTGGGTTGAATCTAGGTACCTTTTTTTATTGCTTTGCCTTTTATTTATAAATATATACAAGTTGGTAGTTGTAACAACTCAAGAATTCAAGAATCAAGATTACCACTTGTCTCTTGCATAGTTGGTTTTAACCGACGTTCTCTTTTCCTTAGTAAACTTGTTTGATAACTGGTTTATTAACTTGTTCTTGGTTACTAAGAGTTCCTTCCCCCTCTGAAGTAGTCTCATCCTTGAGGATGAGGTGAGAAAACTGTTGCCTTAGTACTGAGCAGGCCTCCCATGTTACATACTCTGGAGGAAGCCCTTCCCATTCAATTAAAACTTCCCATACCAGTTGCTGATGCTGTTTGATTCAACGATAACCCCCGATATGCTTTGGCTGCAAAATGGCATGTCCACTCTCATCAAATTCTTGTAGAGCTGGGGCAATGCAACCTGAAGTACCCACATGTTTTTATTTTTTCTTTTTTAATTTTGATACATGAAAAGCAAGGTGGAGACGGCAGGATTGGGGTAGAGATAATCTGTATGCAAATGTTCCAAACTGTTCAGTGATGGAAAATGGTCCATAGTACCTTGGAGACAACTTGTGCCAACTTTTTCGCCCTAGTGAATCTTGCCGATAAGGAAGAAACTTCAGATAAACCAAATCACGTATGTTGTATTCAACCTAACAATGATGTTTATCATATTGGACCTTCATTTGTTGTTGAGCTTGTGTCAAATTTATTTTGAGCTCTCTGACAATGTTATCTCTATATGATAGGTGATTGTCTAACCGCCACTAATGAGGTAGATCCTTTTTCATATGGAAATGGGGGTGGTTCACACCTATAAACTGTCTTAAATGGCGTCATACCCGTGGAGACGTGGAATGTGGAGTTGTACCACAATTCTGCCCAGGGTAGCCATTGGACCCATTGTCGTGGGTTATCACTGATGAAACGCCTCAAATGTGTTTCTAAACATTTTGTTAATGGCCTCTGTTTGTCCATCCTGTCTGTGGGTGATAACTCGTTGACCTATTGAGAGTGGAGCCTTGGAGCTTGAAATATTCACGCCAGAAATTGCTTAGGAATGTTGGATCACGATCCGACAAGATGGCTTTAGGTATGCCACCATGTAAACGTGCGATTTCCTTTACAAACATAGTTTCTACCGTTGTGGCACTATACGGGTGCGACAATGGTATAAAATGAGCCTATTTTGATAATCGGTCAACTACCATCAGTATGATGGAGTATCCCTTAGACTTGGGCAGACCCACAATGAAGTCAAGAGAGATTTCTTCCCATACTAAATTTGGTATCTTTTTAGTGATTGGAGAAGACCAGCAAGTAATTGCACCTCGTATTTTTGAACTTGGCACATTGGGCACATTGCTACAAATTCCTTAATGATGCACTTCGGTGCCTTCCCAAAAATAGTGTGATGCAATGCGGCGGTATGTTCTTAAAATGCCTGAGTGTCCTCCCTCTAGTAAGTTGTGGTACAATTGCAATAACTGAGGTAAGTGTGCTAAAGTGGATGACATAACCATGTGACCCTTGAAAAAAAAATGAGCCTTGCATTGAGTAACCTAGTACCATTGTTGGGTTTTGGGCCCATTTAGATTGAATTGCTTGCAGTTTGGGGTTTTTCTTGGATTTTTTATTTTAGAATGCATAGTAGTGGGTATTGCGGTTTTAAGACTGTTAGAATGGGGAGCTCTGATACCATTCGATATGTGTCATAGGAGAATTTATCCCTAAAAACTAGTTGTTAGATGGAGGGAATCCAAACACATATATACCACACAACAGTATCCCATACTACCGATGTGGGATATCTCACATTAGCATTCCATACTACCAACGTGGGACAAATGAATTGTAACATTCCACCACACTCCACAGTCCCGACACCTACGTAGACTAACTTTGCACTAATCCACCTAGCCTCAACCGAACACTACAATACTTGATGTCACGACCTCTGCCACATTATTGCAACTGGGAGGCATAGTGTAGGCTCTGATACCAGTTGTTGGGTTTCTACCCAATACAGACACTAATTCGAGATAGCATAGTCTCCTAGAGAAGAAATGAGAGAGGAAAGAGAGAACATTGAGATTACCGAGTTGAATCTAGATATCTTTCTTATTGCTTTGCCTTCTATTTATAGATGTACAAGTTGTAGTTGTCACAACTCATTCGAAATTACCACATGAATCTTGCATAACTGATTTTAACCCATGTGCTATTCTCCTTGAATAAACTTGTCTGATAACTGGTTTAATGACTTGTTCTTGGTTTCTAACACATGTCAATCTTTATAAAAGTATAAATACCTTAAAAGGTTGCATTTGAATCTTAGGATTCTCTGTTTTGGTCTAATTTTCATCATCCTAAAATTCTCTTTTTTTTCAACATCTTAAAATGCTGTAAGTGGGCTTTTTAACCTGCAAATTTTGCATCATAGAAGAATTTGAGGCACTTGTCATTTCATTTGTGGGATCCAGGTGGTAACAGAATTGAAATTCAATACTGGAACTCGGATCTCCTACCACAAACTGTTTCCACATCCCTACCCAGGACACTACAAGTGTGCATTGGGAATATCTCCCTTGTCACATTCATAATGAGGATGTTGCAAATACACAGCAATGGTGTCTTGTGGGTAGGGAAGTGGGAAAAGTTTGTGGGTAGGAGATCCGGAGTGTCCAAAAGCCTAAAGAAATCAAGACTATAAAATGATTTCCCAGTTATTTAGGAAAGAAATGTATTTTGTCTAAGTTTATTGAAGAATGGAGTTCTACATCCTTATTTTTGTAATTTCAAGTAAAACATACTCTTCTGGCAAAATAGAGCCCTGAATTAAGAAGTTTAAAATACAATCTAAGCAAGAATGTTGAATTTCTATGTTCTATCTGTCCAACACAACTTCAAACATTGAAGCCCTCCGCACGGAGGCATGCACGATGAGCTTCAATCCATTTTGTGCAAGCAGCTTCACCATGCTCCACAATGCATTCATCCCTGAGCTTTTTAGTGTTGGGGCAAGCACAACAGATCTTCTTCTTTGGTTTTGTATCAGCCCCAGATGCTGCGGTTGATCCTTGCTTTTGTTTTGATCCAGATGAAGTCAAGGATAAAAATGTAGACACCGCAACCTCTGTGCTGCTCATTGCGAAGAATCGTTGGACTCGTGGAATGCAACTGTTAAAGAAACTTCACATTAGAATGGTAGGAGAATAAGGAACCATAAATTCACAACACAGAAAAGTGACAGTTAAGTCCAAAGGGAGGGCCACCATATCCAAGATTAGTCTATAAAAAAATCCAATATAAGAACTAGATCTACTTTATCTGTGTCCTAAAGATGGTTAACCTTGTAAGGAAGAATATAAAAATAGTAAATCTGTCCAGAGTAAAACATCGGACAGTTGATGTATGTATAAATATACATGATTTTCTCCAACAATAAGAGTATAAATGTCCCCCTCCATTAGACTACATAGAGGAAAGAAGGATAATACAATCTCAGACAACTAATTATCTATCATCCTCTGTAACTTTTTTTTCTTTTATTTTCTTTTCTTTTTTCTTTTTTTTTTTATTTTTGGAGGGAGGAGTTGTATTAAGACACTAGGCAGACTACAAAAAATGGGAGTACTGGAGTAGTCTGTTCCGATAATTATCCAATTATCTATATATTTACCTGAAAGAAGAAATCAATGGCTTGCAAACTAGCTTCTAAGGAGCCAACCTTCCAGTTTATTATTATTGTCTTATTTTAATAGGTGACTTGAAACAAGTTACCTATTATTGTCTTTTTTTTATTAGCTAAAGTAGAAGTACAAGAAACAAGTTTTCAATACTCAAGTGAAGAAATGAACAGGACTTACAAATGCAACAAGCCACATACAATGTAAGCTGAAAAGGAAAATAAACCAGCAAATCCACTGGAAAGAGAAACAGGTCTTCCAACAAAACTCAGACATCAGATATTTTAACTATTCAAGAGATATGCGCCAAGACTTGGTGGATCTCAGGACTCATCTAATTGAGTTCATTCTAAATGCTTCCTTTGCAGCATGGGCAGCTGTATCGCCATCCCGTTTCTTTTTTTTTTTTTCTTTTTTCCCTGTAATGAAAGGGTAAAGCTCAAAGAGATATAAGCACATTTGGGAATATTATGAGCTTTAGGAGGCCTGTAGGATAAGTTACAGCTCCTTTGTCCAGTCCTATAATAGGGATTCCAAGTTGCAAAGAGCTAATAGAATAGAAATATGCTTACTCTTTCAAGGTCTAAGAACCTCGCACTCTAGAACTAAACAACTTTTATGTTGATGAAAATTCTAACAGTGGTAATACATTGATAAGATCCTATGGGAGAGACTTGGACACTTCCTAAGTTTCCTTACTTCATTGAGGATGCAAGATCTTTGGCAGCTAGGATGAACATCTCATTTAATGGAAATCTGGAGATAGATTGCAGGTTTAGTTCAGGCATTTTATGCCTAATTGAGGGTCAGCCAAGATTCTTCTTTCCTTTTCCTTGTATTTTTGTTTCCTCTACTTGACATGACCCTTTACAATGACAGATTTGACCTTGCTAGCACTCTTAAAAAAAATCTGGAGAACAAAGATATTACACCTCTAATGTGATATTGGAAGGACAAAGGCCCCTCATCACCATCTCTCATCCACTTGATGATAACTTGAAGTCATCCACCACTTCCACACGATAAAAAAGCAAAATAAAACATTACTCCAAGTCCATGTAGGAGAGAGGAGATCTCAGCCCAAACAGAATCACCCTCACTAATAGGGCATGAAAACATTTAGCTGATCTCCATCTTCTGAATCCTGAAACCTGCCCTAGATTCAAAATAGAACAGGTGTCAAAATTTTAGTTGATTGCACCATGTGTACCAGGAATCCAGCTCCCAATACTCCTTCATATATGAATTCATGAATTTGCTGCACTGAATCATCCTCTTATGATTCCATCAGTTGAAAAATCCCAGAACCCCCTCAACAAGAATCCAGTAACTCCGATATCAATGATATCAATCAGCACATCAGCACATTAGGTGGTTGGTCCTTATTAGAGAACAGCATCCATGTCTACTCAGAGGAACCATAAAGGGTTGCCCTCAAACACATGTGCATTATCTTTCCCCTCTTGGCAAGGGAAACATAATTACCAAACATATTCAAAACAAAGGATGGCCATAAAAATGAGGAAGGTAATGAATTATTTGATTTCTAGGTGCCAGGGATCTTTTGTGCACAATAAACATATTCAAGACAATGTTCTTATTGCAAATGAACATTTTGAATCAAGGAAAATGAATGACAAATAGGGTGTAATCATTAAAGTTGACTTGGAAAAGGCATACGATCATGTTAATTGGACTTTCTTGGACTATATGTTGGGTACAATGAACTTTGGGAAAAAAGTGGAGGAATTGGATCAAAGTCTGCACTACAATTTGGGTCTACAAAGGGTAAGTTCAAGAGCTCCAGAGGGTTGAGAAAGGGGATCCACCATCCCCCCTATTGTCCTTTATAGTATTGAAGGGATTAAGGAAAATGACAGAAAGAGCCATTGAGGGAGGTCTGTTGTTAGGTTTTGAAGTGAAAAGCAATGGTTCAAAACTGCATTGTTGCAGTTTGCAAACAATACTTTATTCTTTTTGGATGCCAACTTGGAACAGGTCTTTAACTTAAGATATCTTCTTTGCTGGTGTTAAATTAAGTGTTTGTGCAGGGTTATTTCAGTCTCTCGATAGAGAGAGAGTCTGAAGTCCTATTCTCTTCTCTACGTTCTTCTCTACTGTACCAGGATTTCTGTTTGTTTATTTCTCAAAATACAGGCCTGATCACAGCTGGTTTGAGGTGGTCTCAGGCCTAAAGGTCAATATGGCAAAGAGTGAGATATTGGCAGTGGGAGAAGTGGGTAATATATCAGATGATTCAGATCTGGCAGAGGTTCTAGGCTGTAAGTGGGGAAATTCCCAACCAATTATTTGGGCTTACCCCTAAATGCTAGATGTAATTCAAAAATACATCTGGGACCAGTCTTAGAGTAGGTCAACAGAAAGCTAACAAGCAAGCCTAACAGCTAATTACTTGTCTCTCTTTCCAATTCTAGTGGAGGTGGAAAAACAGATAGAAAAGGCTATGAGGAATTTCCTGTAGAAAGGTTGGAAAGATGAAGAGAAGTTTCATTTAGTGATGCAGGATGATATCTGCAAACCTATTTCCTGTGGTGGACTTGGGATAAGTCGATAATAAAAGTCAAAAGTTCCAATACTGCTCTCTTGGGAGGGTGGTTGTGGAGGTTTTGCACAAATCCGAACAACTTGTGGATGGAGCTGATTGCTGAGAAGTATGGCTTATGCGATAATCTCTCGGGTACTAATTATTTTTGGATGTCCTAGTGTGGAGGGGAATTTATGAAGCCTTCCTTAACTTCTTGAAAGACGTAAAATACCTTCTTGGCAATGGAGCTAGAATAAGATTTTGGTTCTGGTGTGATGAACTGACCTTGAAAGAAAGATTTCCAGAGTTGTTTGTTTTGGCGTGCAACAAAGAAGCTACAGTAGCAGAATGCTATCAGGTAGAAGGAACATCCTGTACTTGGAATCCTGCTTTTAGAAGGAATGTTTATGACGGGAATTGCAGATTGTAGCTGACTTGCTGTCCTTGCTGTACAACCAGCAAATCAAGACAAGATACTAGAAAGTGTAAATGGTCCAAATCAGGTAACTTCTCAGTCAGGTCTTTCTAAAATGGTTTATTGGGAGAACAAGACAGGTCCTTCCCTTACAAAGCCATTTGGGGAACTGCAGCACCATCAAAGGTTAAACTTTTCTGTGGGTGGTGCCATGGGAAAGGTGCTTAACCAAGGAAACGCTTGTCAGAAAGGGAGTTAATCTGCCAGACCTCGAATATTCTTTCTATAATGAACAAATGGAGTCTTTGAAACATCTGTTCCTGATCTGCAAATTCTTTTATAAGATTTGAAACCATTTCAGAAAGGCTGCTCCAGTATGGTTATTTTCCGAATTCAGTGAAGGCCCTTCTGGCTGGGAGGCAAGTTCAAGGGATGTCCAAGAGAGGAAGAGCTTGCTGGGTAGTGGTGCCTTTAGCAGTCATGTAGGCACTGTGGTCTGAAAGGAATGACAGAATTAAGAATTTTTTATCAGAAATCTAATCCAGAGGAGGTAGTAATGAATTGTGCAGCCGACTTGACAAGGAGCTGATTGTCTTCTGGTTGTCTACTTTACTTGTTTCAGTGGAAATGATTTTTCATCCTCTTTTTTGAACATAGATTTTTTTGGGGGGATCCTTAAGGGATATGCTAATATACAGAAATTATTTATATGACTACAGAGGACCATACATGTATACCTTCTTTTTTTTCAAAAAAAAAGAAAATAACAAAGGCTGGTAATAAAGATATTGCATTCCTCACCACTTCCTTAGAGCTGGAGGAGATATTCTTCTTTCACTCGCAGATAAATAACCCTAGTTTTTAGTGGCATAGGTCCCAGCCACATTGTTTTTACTAGAAACAACAGTTGAGGAGGTGAAACTGGAGCAAGCAATTTTGAGAAGGGAGGAATCAGAGAAAGAACCATGAGGGATAAGTAAATTCTGGTGTTTTAAAGTGAAAAGCAAGACCAAAGTAAAAGGAGTTCCTAAGCATGGTTTTAAAGTGAAAACCATAAAGGACAAGTATAGGTTTCCCTACCTTTTCTTTCAAACCAAACACAGCTTAAGAGACTGATCTGTAAAGCAGCAAGGTGCACATCTAAATGGGTGAGGTGCCACAATTAAGAAAAATTAAAATAGCTTAATACACAAGTACAAGAATATGCAATTCTAAATTCTGAAGAAAATAAAATATTTGAAAAAGCTTATTAGAGGCTCAATGTTAAGCCCAGTACATGGTAGGTCGGGCTCAGGGGCCCATCAGGCCATCCTAGGCTTCGTAGCCCATCCTATCCCACCCAGTACATGAGCTGAGGATCCCTCCTCCAATTGATCAATATCTTCAATTTGATTTTATAATGGCAATCTTCTCCTTCTCCTTATTTCTGTTAGCCCAAAAACCTTTTGATCCCACACTTTAACTTCATATTTGACAATTTGCAATTCTTTTCAAAACCTATAGTCTATCCTATCCATCTAATCACTCTGCTTCAAATCATCCTAGTTAAACATTTCCAAGAGGAAGGGGGAGAGAGAGAGAAAGAGAGAGAGAGAGAGGGATTTTCAAAGAATGAAGGACAGATGCCACTCCTCAATCCATTGGAAGTCAAAAGAATGGAGGGGGAGTAATAGGGCACACTGGAACCACTTGAAACAACATCCTAGGAATGGTCATCCCAATGAATGGGGAAAGGAAAATTGTCCAAGTTTACTACAATTTGGACTTTCACTACTTATTTTTCATTGTAAAAATAAAAATTCATTGAATAAAAAAAAGAAAATACAAGAGAAGGAGAAATCGTGAAAATAACAGAACTTCAGATGAACCACAACTATTAAACATCATCAGAAATAAAATCAAAAGTAGACCAGAACTCTACAGAAAATGACTTATGTAGCGTCTTTAGATTAGGGTTGACCCTACAACCAAGAAAATCAATAATTAAAGACCATTCAACCATCTATCCCTTTGTCATTCCTATTCTGGAGCAAATATCTTAGTGGGCATAAATCAGGTTTAGATAATTAGATCTGGACCAGATTAAACTAGAGCCAGGTACAAAATTTATTGAATAGCATGCTTGCCGGATCAGGACTTGGGTCCAATAAAGATCAAATTTTGTGGTACATATTTGGTCCATTTTAAGATATGTGGGTTTGATATATGTGATATCTAAGGGATGTGTACTGATAAAAGGACTCATGCCTGCTACTGATCTTTCAGGAGTAAAACTATGATACATTTACTATGATTCTCTCCATCTACTAATTATGATCCTTAGATGAACAACCAGTCATGAGTATTTTCTTTAGAAGAACAAGTATGGCATATAATGCACCTAACTAAATATGCACAGAGCTTTATGCAAATCAGGTGGACTTATCCATAACAAAACACCACAATCCCCTGGCAAAATATATGGTCCATATTTGTAAATGCTTTCAAAACAAATTCCAACCCAGAAAAGGTGACCCTACATCCCAACATCTCCACATTGCTAAAAGGTCTTTATTTGACTCCTCTATGTATCTCACATTCCTAAGAGTATAGGAAAGTAACAAGTAACTATATTGTTCAAAAAGAAAATAAAAGAAAAGTTCATTAAGTAATATCCACTCAAAATAAATAGGGAAAAGAAAATTCTCCATACAAGCTAGCAAGTCTGCAATGAGAAAGCCATTGTCCACAGTCTCCTCATTACACTTACACCAGTTATCCATTCACTTACCCTGTTCTTTAGATGGTTGACAATAAAGAAACCATCAAGCAACCATCAAGTAATACTTTTTGTAGTTGACTGATTGGTTCAATAAAAGCTGATCAAACCTTCTTTGGAGTGATCCATTGATCCAGCAAATTCAAAATCCAAAAAGGACAACACAAGGTGCTAATCAAAAAGATACCTTTATGATCCTCTTCCAAAACCTGAGAATCCACCTTCCAATGGAAAAGACTAATACTGTAAGGGCTACCCCCTAGGTTCCCTGATATCACATACTCCTAGTTATATCCACTCAGTCTTGATGTAGCCCATCTCAATATCTAATCCAGCTACATACATTATTACATCACCAGAACTTGTATCTACTGCACTGCTACCAATTCACCACTTGTTGAATAAGTTCTTGTTTTGACATAAGATGATCATCACATGCTACCCAAGTTGAGTAAGCTATTTGCTTATGTATAACTAAAATGGTTCATAAAGTGAATGTAACATCAGTTAGATACCAAGAACTCAAGTGAGCATTATATTACTCGAACATGGTAAAAAAAAACCAATTTTAAGATAAGAGTGATACAGTTTAGTGCATGAGCTCTAGACAGTGCACCTTATAGTTCCCATTTACAACACTACAGGTATAGTTCCACAATATTGCAGGAATAATGAAGCTATAGAATAAGAAGAGGGAGAAAGAGATCAAATGAAAATAAGAGCATAACAATTGCAAATAAGTTTCGGATAAAAAGGATAACTTGCAAGTATAAAAGCCCATTAATAATATGCATTAGCATCAACGAAAGTGATCCTCAGCGTTGATGTCCTAACAATTTTTTTCTTCCTTACACACCCAACCCCCCTCCCCGGGCAACCAACAAGAAGTGATGAATAATAGATAAAGTCAGATTCATTCCCTAATAAAAAATATAAACAGCTACGCATAATTAAAAGTAAATAAATAAAAGAAAGCTCGGTTCTTCTATGAAAGGAACTGTTTATTTCAAAAGCATGTCTTAATTTGTTTTTTAATTTATTATCTACTTTCAGTTAGAGTTCTCCACTGATAATCAAAGCTTAGACCCATTAAACAACATAAACAAAGAGTAGGCATTAACTTAATGGCAAATCAACAAACAAACCCAAATAAAATCCAATTAAAATAATTCTTGATCCTTCCCTTTTTCTGCTTCAATTCTCTCACTCCATGAATAAACAGTAACCAAATCAAATATGTAACATCAGCAGAGAAATAATACCTGAATGCTTGAAGCTTGCAACGAGGAAGACGAAAGAATACTCTGGCGTTTTTGAAAAGCAGAGAAAAGTATAGACGTCTGTCTAATGTCTAAACCTTGTCCGGTGATGACTGGTTTGACAAATGGGACGATGGGCGCGTCAAGTTGTTTGTGTTCGTCAAACTTTCCCGAATCTGGTTTTGGGCTTTTAAAAGTTACGGCTACCGTGAACGCAGTCACGGATGACGAATTGTCCCTTTCCGTTTACTTGCTTCCCAAGAAAAAAATTGGGAGCCTCACAGGCACATCCACCGTCATCAATCCCATGGATGACGGGATCTGCTCCTCACACATTGGCGCTTCACAGACACATCAACCGTGCATGTGAGATGTGCCTAATGCATGAGAGGATTGCGTGTGAGGTCGATGTGAGGTGCCCTGTATAAAGAGCAGATTCGGTCTCGTAGATACTATAATTGTATTGTGGTATCGCCAATAACAACACAAACGTCAGTCTGTAAATGTGGGACCCAATGTATTGTGATAGCGTGACATGTCGTGATTAGCCATTAACCGAAGGATACTGGACCAACCAATCATGATGCCTATCAGCCTCATAATATCCCCACCAGCACCGAAGTGTATGAGTCCGGCTTCTATTAGCGCATAAATCGCGCAAAACGCCACGCGTCGTTTATTTCGTGTGCCTACTTAAACCGTGCAAAGCAAAGGAAACGACGTTGACAGGAGATGCCGTTCGTTAGGGAAAAGTATTCCTGAGTTCACTGTATAATTCTGAATTACAGTCTCTCATAATCTGCTAATAGCCTCTTATAAGTCGCATCCTATAAGTGGATTTAGCATCAATCCACGGTCAGGATTCATTCCCTATACGATGAGGCTAAAGAATTCTGAATTGGGCTGATCAGTCTCCCTAGATTCTATTTTACCACCTCGCACCAGTGGCGAGTGGCGACCAACAACCATCACCAACTGAGGAAAAGCTCAAATATTGATTTTTTTTTTCATTTTTTCTTTCCCAAACATTGCTTCAAGTATTGGATTTCTTTCAGTATTCCCAAAACCTACATCGAAATTTCATCTTCTCTGTGCAGCAACAGCGAACAACGACCGGCGAGCTTGGTCTTACTCCCAACGTTAGAGAACATTTAGAGTTTATGCAGAAGCAAGCATGAAGAGCCAAGTTATTCGTCGATCAACATGATGAAAATCTCAAACTCCGCCTCTACTCCTTCCTTGATGAATTCGAGCAAGGATGAATACTTGATGCAGTGGAACTTCGGACATTCTTTATCGAAAAATTGGGGATTCTGGAGGCAAAAATTTGTAGAGCCGAGATTGAGTTTCTAGAGGAGCATATTTACAATAACAAAGGGGACGTTGAGCCAACTGCATCATTAGTACTCAATGGCTTTCTCGCTGACTAGGTATTGCAGATTCTTGCTTTTCGGATTTGAGGAAGAAGAATAAATGGGTTCTGGGAATCAGAAGGCATGGAAGGGTATTATTAATCAGGAAATTGGGGAGACCTTCGTTACAATTCCAAAGGATCTCTATTGCCCAATCTCATTGGATTTGATGAGAGATCCGATGATAACCTCCACCGGGCAAATTTAAGATCGATCACCGATTTCTTGATGGATGGAAGAAGGTCACAGTACCTACCCAAAGACAGGGTAGATGCTTTCTCATATGCGCCTTGTTCCAAATAGAGTTCTCCGAAACCTTATTTCCCAATGGTTCACAACTCATGAATCCACTTTGATCCATCTGAGAACATTGGTATGCCTTCAGAAGTTGTTTCAACGCCACCATCAGCCAAAGTTGCAACTTCTAACAGAGCAACAGCTAAGCTTCTTATCCAACAGCTATCAAATGGGTCACAGGGGGCAAAAACAATTGTTGCCCGTGAGTTGAGGTTTCTTGCAAAAACTAGAAAGGAGAATCATGTAGGCATTGCAGAAGCAGGGGCAATCCCCCTTCTTCGTTGGATACTCTATTCACCAGATCCAATTGCACCAGAGAAGGAAATGCAATTCGATTTACGTTTTGGGAAAAACAAAAGGATGGAAGGAAATGCAATACCTAAAGCAATGTTTGAGAAAGTAAAAATGAAAAAAAAAAAATCAATACCTGAGCATGTTAATCGCCGCCGGTTGGAGAGGGAAAAAATGAGAGTGAACTGGGTTCAGTGTAAGGCGGCAAAGAACTTGTTTTCGAATAGAGTCTAATGGCATCTCTTATCAACGTCTTTCCTTCTCCTCGCACGCTTTAAGCGGATATATAAAATAAAAGACGCGTAGCGCATCTTCCTTTTGCGAGAACGGTGGGTGTATGCACCGTGCCCTAATAAAAGCCGAACTCAAAGTGTACGCATTCGACCTGAGCAAAAGTGCAAAACCTATGTTGAGTGAATGAGGGGGTACGGTTTGAAGTTTAGATTAAACCGAATACAACCCAAACCTGAAACCCCCTGGAACTGGTCCGAACAGTAAATGAGAAAAATAATCGCTTCGCTTCTATATTTTTTGGGTAAGATTGCTTCTATTGAATTTCTGCAAGCACTAGACAGTTTAGGCGAGACCTTTTCCAGGCTTCAAGCCCAGCCCGGAAATTTTTGAATTTGAGCGTAGGTTTATTTGTGTTCAGGCCCGGCTCATTGAGCCCCAAAATTTATGGGCACGACACTTTAAGCATGTTCCAAATCCAACCTAAGATCAATCCAATTATATAAGATCATAAATACGGGCATAGATATATACATAAATATATACAAATACACCTGCAAATTTTTAATATATTGGGTTCAGGGCAACTTTTTAATATATTGGGTCTAGCTATACAAAATTTTAGGCCCAAGCCTATTGACCAATTCAAACTTGGCTTGGGCCTAAGCTAAATCCGAATATGTCAAATTTTAGTGGAAGTTAGGCCTAGGTTGGATAAATTGGACTTGACCTTATGTTTGATTTTAAAGAACAAAACAGATTGAGGGAAGAATAAAATCGATGACTTGTTGAGAGTCCTTTGTATATTTATATTTGAGTTACATGTGTACGGTTGTAAGTTATTTACCGTAAATAGAATACAAGATGAGGAAAATGAGTGATTAGGATAACAGGGTGTTTGGGTTCTTGATGACTCTTTGGTGCATAGACCTGTTCATGGGCCGGGCAGGGCTTTCACTCTGTATTAACAAATTTTTTTAAGGCCCGAGCCCGAAATTTAGCCCATATTGTTACTATTGCTAAAGCGGCTAAATAGAGATAGATAGAGAGAGAGAGAGAGAGAAATTATAAAGAAAAAAATAAAAAATGTATATATTAAATTATAAATATATATATATATATTTATAAATATTATATTATTTATATATTTTATATAATATATAAAAATACATATTATGTATTTTATAAAATATATAATATTGAATTGGGTTGGGCCGGGCTTTTTTGACAAATCCCGAGCCCGGCCCGAAACACAGTCGGGCTTACTGTGTTAGGCCCGCGGGCTTAATTACATGACCAAGCCCAACCGGGGTGCGGGCCGGGCCATCGGGCTACCCGGCCCATGAACACTCTATTGGTGCATGATCTTATCTTTTGCATTATCTCCAATAGCAGTGTTATCTATATCATTATCTCTATCAGCCCCCCGCAAGTTGACTGGGGATGATACAGTTAACTTGGACTGAAGAACAAAGAATGGAGTAAGACCAAGAGACTTTGTTAGGATGCCAGCTATCTGATCACCTGAGGAGATAAACTTGACTTCAAGGAGCTTCTAGGTCACCTGACCTCATACGAAATGAAAGTTTATTTCTATGTGTTTCGTACGTGCATGGAAAACTGGATTGGAAGTGAGAAATGTTGCGCCCAAGTTATCACACCATAAAACAGGTGGTAGGAGAGAACACAGCCAAGTTCACAAGCAGCTAGTGCAAGGCTCCTATACTCAGACTTCGTGCTAGATCGTGACACAATAGATTGCTTGCGAAATGACCAAGAGACCAAGTTTGGTTCCATATATATGCAAAAGCCACCATGTGAACGTACCATTAGGGCATCCATCCCAATCTGCATCAGAAAATGCATGAAGATGCAAGGAAGAGGAAGGTTGGAGTAGCAAGCCATGTGATAGAGTGCTTTTGAGATAGCACAGTATGCGCTTCACAATTGCCTAATGAACATTAGTTGGGGAGTGAAGAAATTGGCACATTTTATTTACTACAAAGGCTATATCAGGCCTAGTGAAGGTAAGATACTATAGTGCTCCTACAACACTTCGATAGAGAGAGGGATCAAAGAGAGTGTGGCTATCGAGCTTGCTGAGTTTAGTTGATGACGCCATGGGTGTAGAGGCTAGTTTAGCATCAATCATACCAGCACATCTAAGATGATCAACTATGTACTTTCTTTGAGAGAGAAGCAATCCCTTGAAAGTGTGATGCACCTCTAGGCCAAGAAAGAAATAAAGAGGCCCCAAATCTTTGGCAATAAATGTAGAACTCATTTTTAGAACAGGATCATCTAACAAAGATGAATGGGAACCAGTGAGAATGATGTCATCTACATAGACGATAGCATAGAGCATGATATTCCCTTGTAGAAAGATAAAGAGAGATGAATCAGACTTTGAAGCCATAAAACCATTTTCAAGAAGAAAACCATATAACTTAGAGTACCACGCACGTGGTGCTTGCTTCAAACCGTAGAGTGACTTCTTAAGATGACAAACATGGGTAGGATGGGTGGAGTTAATGAAGCTGGGTGGTTGAGACCAATGTAAAAATGCATTTTTTACATCAAGTTGATGGATGCACCAGCCCTTAGAGAGAGCAAGGGAGAGAATAACTCGAATAGTAGTAGGCTTAACCACTGGACTGAATGTCTCTTGATAGTCAAGGCCTTCACATTGATTGTATCCTTTGGCAATAAGACGCGCCTTGTGCCACACAATGGAGCCATCGGGATTGTACTTGAGACGAAACACCCATTTGCAACCAACTATGTTCATGTGAGATTGGCTGCATAGCTGCCTTTCATATAGGATATTGTAGAGCCTTGTGGAAGCAACTTGGTTCTGCATCCATGGGAAGAGGGTGGGAAGTGGAGGCAATATAGGTCTTTTAGTTTAAAGATTCCCACTTTGCTTCTAGTTACCATAGGATAAACATAAAGTGTGGGAGGAGCTACAACTGCTACATGTGTAAAAGCATTGGAAACTGGTACTAGTGAGGGATGTGATGTAGGAGAATCATCATTAGAAGTGTTTTCTGGAGAGAGATGCATTGGAGGAGAGTCAACAGTAGAATCATGTTGATCTGTGGCAAGTTCAATTACATGATTTGATGCATCAGCAATGTGTTGATGTATGACAAGTTCAATGACACGATTTGATGCATCAATAGTGTGAGTGGATCCAGTTGAATCTGTGATTGGAATGGGAACCACAGTGGGTGGTTGGTGTGTCCGGAAGCGCGTCGTTAAACACTCCGAAACAGTAGTTTAAACATTTATAATTTTTACCATTTCTCAAACAACTACTAACGTGGTAAATAGGTGAGAACGGGTCGTATCCACAGGGAAGCAAGTGAAAAATTAATATATACTTAGATCCAGGCAAGAGAATGCAATTGGGAATGGCAGAAAATACGAAAATAAAATCTATTATTGTTGAAATTAAATGTTTCGAATTTAAACAAGACAATAAATAAAATTCAGAATTTAATAAAGTATGGGAATCAACAAAGAAAATAAAATAAATAAATGATCCAGAATCCAGATCTAGTGGCGGTAACTGCAAATCGGCTAGACGGCTTGCAGAAACCCCTCCTGACAAGAACTGGGCGCCCGTCCTTTCTATAGCCCTCGAACCACTCGAGACACCTTAGCCTTGAACCGAACGAATTCAGATCTGCAAAAACAGAGAAACGAACAAGAATTAAATCTAAAAGATTGCAGAAATAAAAATAATAGAAAAGAATGGTTGATCAGATCTAGTAGCAATAGTTGCAAAATGGTTGAACAGCTTGCAAGAACCCCTCCTAACAAGAAGTGGGCATCCTCCCCTTCTACAATCCTTGAACTCTTCAAGAAACCTTAGTCTTGTTAACTAGGTGAATTGACCAACCCTTTCTACAAGGCCCCTGGGACCCCTTTTATAGAGAAGGGTGGACATAACTGGGAATAGAGAGAAAGAGGGGAGCGGCAACTGGGTTTTAGCAAAAATATGGGTGCCCTAGGGTTTAGAATGAAGGGTTATGATGGTTCTAGGGTGATCATAAGGCTGAGAAGAAAATGAGAAGGCACCCAATATTATGTAAAGCTGAGATTTAATGGCTAAAGGCTGAATGGTGAAGATTAGAGGTTAGGTGGCTCTTAGGGTTAGAATGCTAAAAAGAGAGTGCCCTACAATGGATGGTGGAGATTAGAAGGGATGGAAGGTAAGGATTTAGCAGTTAGGGGTGGCTTGGGTTTGTTAAGAGTGAAAAGAATGGGTTAAAAGGCGCTCTAGGGCTTGCTAAGGTGTGGGGAGCATGCTAATATAGTAGGAGGGCCGTCAAACTGGGTTTAGCAGCTAGGAGGCGCCCTCTTACTTTCAGTTTTTCACAAAAACACCCCTCTCTCACTTGGACTTCACACTAGCTTCCCAAAATCTACATTTCAGCCATGAAAACTTTCCAGTTTTCCCCAGAATTTGCACAAAGACCCTTAGAGACCACAACATTGCATTTAACTGGGAAAATGGCACATGTTGACTATTCTAAGGCCGAAAATACCCTTAAATTGATGCCCTTAAGGCATCAAAATGCAGAGTTATCAGTGGTGGTCCAATATAATTGGAAGTAGGAGCTGAATGTGAAACCATTGTACTATCTTTACACACATTCTTCATTGTGAATGGAAATGAGCTTTCATTGAATGTGATGTAGCGGGAAATATAAGTTCGACTGCACGATTTGATGCATCAATAGTGTGTTGATCTGTGACAAGTTCAATGACATGATTTGATGCATCAATAGTGTGAGTGGATCTAGTTGAATCTGTGATTGGAATGGCAACCACAATGGGTGGTGGTCCAATATAGTTGGAAGTAGGAGTTGACTGTGAAACCATTGTATTGCCTTTACACATTCTTCATTGTGAACGGAAATGAACTTTCATTGAATGTGATGTACTGGAAAATATAAGTTCAACCTGAAGTAAGATCAAGACATTTATAGCCACGATAGGAATCATAATAACCCAAAAAAACACAATTTATAGAGCGGTATTGAAA